GTTGTACTGGTTATGTTAACATTTCGTTGTACTGGTTATGTTACCATTTAGTTGTACTGGTTATGTTACCATTTAGTTGTACTGGTTATGTTAACATTTAGTTGTACTGGTTATGTTAACATTTAGTTGTACTGGTTATGTTAACATTTAGTTGTACTGGTTATGTTAACATAAAGTTGAACTGGTTATGTTAACATTTCGTTGTACTGGTTATGTTACCATTTAGTTGTACTGGTTATGTTACCATTTAGTTGTACTGGTTATGTTAACATTTAGTTGTACTGGTTATGTTAACATAAAGTTGAACTGGTTATGTTAACATTTAGTTGTACTGGTTATGTTACCATTTAGTTGTACTGGTTATGTTACCATTTAGTTGTACTGGTTATGTTACCATTTAGTTGTACTGGTTATGTTAACATTTAGTTGTACTGGTTATGTTACCATTTAGTTGTACTGGTTATGTTACCATCTAGTTGTACTGGTTATGTTACCATCTAGTTGTACTGGTTATGTTAACATTTCGTTGTACTGGTTATGTTAACATTTAGTTGTACTGGTTATGTTACCAATTAGTTGTGCTGGTTATGTTACCATTTAGTTGTACTGGTTATGTTACCATTTAGTTGTACTGGTTATGTTACCATTTAGTTGTACTGATTTTGGTTACATCCGATTGCAGTTGTAATGATGCCATTTGTTAGTAATATTTAAATCGAAATTACAGTAATAATTCTATTATCGTTTAGTTGTACAGATGACAGTCTGTCTGCTAATTCATTTAAATGATAGCGCTGTTATTACATACACTTTACTGACATTATCAAAACCGTACTACAAAATAGAAAGCTGCAGAGCTAGTTCGCCTGACTCGATTATCGCCGTCATTTTCCATGTGTAACGAAGTAAATGACCCCCAGGTATTTAATAATTTAATCAAACGCTTATTCCCTTGGTGGTTTAGAAAGATCATCGTGCCATTCTTGTTTTCCCTTCCAATTTCCTCTCAGTGTATGTTATAGACTAGTCACGGATTGACTGTCACGCATCTACTGTTGTTATCTGTGAGTAGCCTCCCTTGTTGTATATGTTATATATGTTTACACGAGTTGTCTTCCTTACCTTGGGCCTACAATAGCAGAACTGTCACCAATCTTTATCTTTTTCTTCGGTAGGTTTCATTATCACCTTATAGGCATACATTCAAAGTTGTTATAGTTTGACAGGAACGAAGTTATAGTTTGGCAAGAATGAAGCTATAGTTGGACAGGAACAATGCCATATTTTGACATTGACAAATTTTAGTTTATTTGGAAGGACAATATTATAGTTTGGCAGAGACGAAGTTACAATTTGACTGGGACAACATTATAGATTGACAAGGACGACGTTATAGTTTGACAGGGACGACGTTATAGATTGACAGGGATGGTGTTATAGTTTGAAAGGGACGATGTTATAGTTTGACAGGGACGATGTTATAGTTTGACAGGGGCGACGTTATAGATTGACAGGGACGTTATAGTTTGATAGGGACGACGTTATATTTTGATAGGGACGACGTTATAGTTTGACAGGGACGAAATTATAGTTTGACAGAGACACGTTATAGTTTGACAGGGGCGACATTATAGTTTGACAGAGGCACATTATAGTTGGACTGGGACGATATTATAGTTTGACAGGGACGACGTTATAGTTTGACAGAGACACGTTATAGTTTGACAGGGGCGACATTATAGTTTGACAGAGACACATTATAGTTGGACTGGGACACGTTATAGTTGGACTGGTACGACGTTATAGTTTGACAGGGACGATGCTATAGTTTGACAGGGGCGACATTATAGTTTGACAGAGGCACATTATAGTTGGACTGGGACACGTTATAGTTGGACTGGTACGACGTTATAGTTTGACAGGGACGATGCTATAGTTTGACAGGGGCGACATTATAGTTTGACAGGGACGTTATAGTTTGACAGAGACACGTTATAGTTTGACAGGGACGATATTATAGTTTGACAGGGACGACGTTATAGTTTGACAGGGGCGACGTTATAGTTTGACAGGGACGATGTTATGGTTTGACAGGGACGACATTATAGTTTGAGTGGGACGATGTTATAGTTTGACAGGGACGACATTATAGTTTGAGTGGGACGATGTTATAGTTTGACAGGGACGACATTATAGTTTGAGTGGGACGATGTTATAGTTTGACAGGGACGACATTATAGTTTGAGTGGGACGATGTTATAGTTTGACTGGAACGACGTTTTAGTTTGGCCAAGACGACAAAAACATGTACGGATATTAAAGTGACCAGTTACCATAATACAATAAAAAGACATCGTTAAAACAGCAATATTGTTGTGAGTAAACTACTTTACTGGTATGATTCATAGAACGTAAAAGTAAAACATTGTTTGTGTATTGACTTGTTTGAAACTTGTCTCAGACAATATTCTAATCTATCCTTACGATAAACAAGACAGCATACATTCAGAAGCAACGATGGCGTACGAAACTAGTATTGAACTCGGACATATTAGAGACCTACATTAGGCAAAACTAACAATAAAAAAATAAAGTTTCACGTTAGCTCATCTAGTGCACCTAGAATTAAAAAAAAACAAAAAAACGCCAATGACACAAAGGAAGAGCTCACCTATATCAAATTACTAGTTAAAGATAATAGCAGAAACTCCCCTATGTCTATGTAGATTATTGTAAATCTGAAATACTTCACCATAGATGTTGGCTCAAATGTAACTCGCTCAACAAACATTTATTGTGCAAAATCCGTACTGATATATGAGGCCTGACTGATAAGTTGTGAGGCATATATTGAAGGGTTTGACTTTTGGCGGACATATTGCATTATTTTTCAACATAATCCCTTTAAGTATCTTTACAATTTTGCCAGTCTAATGGGGCGAGATCAAGTGAAAAAGGCGGATGTTCAATGAGTTTTCCGCGGCGATTGAGTGTAATATTTTCTCTTAACTGCATAAGAAGTGATGCACAATATGTGACATTGATTGTTTGTCCATTTTGCAGATAAACTATTGTCAGCATACCATCAGCATCCCAGAAAACCGAGGTCATAACCTTTCCAGCTGATGGAAGAGTCTTTGCCTTCTTTGGCGGGGGTGAACAGTGTGCTTCCTTTGTATAAGCTATTGTGATCAACTGTTAAAAACCTTGGTACCCAACGGTCTGCAAGATCTTCTGTAAGAATGGAATGTACTCTTGTTGTTGTAAAATCCCAACTGTACTGGGTATATATCTCTCTGTAAGTCACCTGTCATCCATAACAATATCATGGACTTTATTGCCCATTTTTGGGGTAGCAACAGTGACAGGCCTTCCAAGACGAGCATCATCCCCAAGGCTCTGTCTGACAAGCTTAAATTCCACCACCAACCTTTTCACTGTAGCATATAAAGCATTATTCTCTAGCGTTGTTACTATATCAGTATGGATATCCTTAGGTGCTAGACCCTTATCCAAAAATTGAATCACTGCTCACCGAGTGATTTTGACCATTTTGCAAAAGTCACTTGCCTTGTTTAATTTAGAGTGCTAACTTTTCGGCATAAACAGACCAAATGACACCGGTCTTCGCGTACACAGCCATAAATAGTCAGGGAATAGTAGAGCTGTAAAATAACATTCCTGCTTAACTTCTTCAATGCAAGACTCACGTCTTATCAATCTGCCCTCGTCTATAATAATTTCATTTACTTGTAGTAGACGTACACAAAGCAGACACCAACATTTCTCTTACATAATATAAAATAAGATGTATTAAATAACGTTGACGTTCTTTTGTGAGTCGATAAAATCATGTCTGATCAAGGAAAAATAAATCTGATCTGTTGAGGCTCAAATGTTGATTGCCATATCATCGAACACATGTTATGGTGTCTTGTTCCACGATTTTTTCCTATGTAACTTGTGTTCTTTTATGTCTTCCATCTTTCTCATCAATGCTTCAGGTAAATGTGTTTTTACGGTTTTCGTAATATTTGATGTAGAAGGATTGGTGTAAGCTTTTGCCATGCTTTTCTGTCCTCTTTAATTAATTGTTTTAGAAGATGTAATGCGTTAGAAATATAACATTGTTTATACAGTGGATACGAAATGTTATTTACTGTGGTGAAATTTACCGATCATGTCCTCTTTTAAAAATATGGGTTCATTATTAGCTTATCGATAACGAGATTGTAGCTGAATTTGAAGTCTTAGGCTTTCCGTAGACAGTTTAAAAAATCGCAATCACTTTATTTATTTATTTAAAAAAGGAAAGCGCGTGCATATGAAATGTACTTACAAATGAAAATTTGATGTATTTTTTGCATATACACTTGTCACACTATTGTTTATTACTTCTCTTTGCCGGTTGATTCAACTGATAGACAAATGAAATGAATGTTAATGTAACTGTTGCCGGCTTCATCAGTTGTTCTGTGTTTTGATTGAAGGCCAAGCATTTATTGAATTGAGCTATCTGATATTGATGGCAAACGTTACAGAAACAAAAACATACCAACATGTCAACATAATCATAATCTAAACTCAAATTCAATAAAACGAGAAATAACAGCAAAAAAAAGAAAGATTTATACGGAGATTCAGGAAAAAGTACAAGGAAAATAAGACCACGTGTCCCGGAAGAGTAAGCGTCTTCAGCTTCATTGACGATACGCGCCATGTAAATCTTGGTAAACCAAGATTGAGCGATATATGACCATACAGTGGTTTTGTTTGGTGTGTTTCCATTCCGACCACCAACGTCAGTATGATACAGACTGACACATTAGATACAAATGTTCTCACTTTCTCCTGTGATAACGCTGTTACCGTATTATCTCTACAGAAATGATGATTCTGTACTGGTCTAGTTATCAAAGAATAATGTTATGCATTCATTGTATGTATACTGCAAGAACTTCTGAATTGACAGAATAAATTATTCACAGATAATAGACAAATTACGTTGAAGCAAGATATTTAATGATTCCTATTGACAGTATTGATATCTAATCTCAAAATATATTTCATGAACACGAAATAAGATAATACATTGAATATGTCGAAAGCTAATCTACATGGCATACAGTGATTTCAACGTGAACGACAAAGAATATATTGGCTTAATCTTTATTAAAATATAAATGCGATGAAAATAGGGTAAAATATGAACAAAATACAGATTTACACAAAGACTCCTGAAAATGCACAGAAAGAATAAGAAACTGAATCACTGGCGAAGGAATGAAAAAAGCGAATAAAACCATTTCATTTTAGTAGAACTACGTACATTTTATTGTAAACACAGAAAATTATCGCAGGCTTCCTACATAGTCAATATGTAGATAATTTATATCATTTCATTGTTTAATAAAGCTTTTTCAACACTTTTTCACAAACTATGCAAATATCATGTACCATATAAGTATTCACATATATATAAATGTATCAGGGTCATGAGATGAAAACGAGACATGAGTGAGAAAGGCATAGTGAACGGTCTACCATATTGTGTATGTAGTGTACAATGGTCATTAATTACCTTTTCATAACTGATTCAGTTAAGAGATGTTTTTAGTGATTTAAATTAAATCCCAAACATTTCTTTCTTAATGATTAGTACACCTGGAAAAATAACAGGATTTCATATTAACAATGACTTTAATTACAAAATTGAATGATAACTTCGAATTTACTGTATCTGATACCTAATTACTGAGGAGAAATGGTTACCGAAAAATAAAAAAGAGCGCCATGACCTATCTTGTCTTTTTAAAGTATCCAAACTGTACCAAAATACGGATCCAGTGATCGTAATGTATTAAACCTACATGATATATATATATATATATATATATATAGGACATAACTACTACCAACATTTGGTCACACCACTGGGAAAGTCAATTAGTAAAGACATGAATTCACATTGTAGTAACTGTGGTAGCTATTGTATAAATGTCAGACAATAAATACAGCCCTCGATCTACGTGTCTACAGCGAGCCAAGTAAGGTATGGATGTTCCGCCTTCAATTGCAATCCTGAGTATAAAACGTACAGTTATAACAGCGTTGTCTCCCTTCCTTTGTAAGAAATCGCTGCATTATGAATGTATTCATTGGTTTTTGAAACAAGAATGCCGACGAACACACAATTAAATACATTATCAAAAGATTTGTACATCTTTAATAGGATGCTTATAAAATACTCTCTGCATGTTTACCTTTAACCCGTTAGATAGATTTCCAGCAGTTTCGTCCCCGGCATCGCTAACGAGGTCTTGATAGAGGAAATAAGTAAATGTGGAAATAATGATAATAATGATTTGGCAAGTAATGTATGTGGACTAGGCACAACATCTAGGGAGACAGGTGATAAACTCTGCTGGGAAACTAAATAGTCATCCAGGTATATTGTGACCTGCACGATACATTTCAATTCATTCGGCTAGTGGCACGGTTTCATATGAGAAATGCATTGAAAATTGATATTGTAAAATTGTGTTTAGTAACATATGTTTTGATCGGTTTATCTTTAAAAGACCAGGAGATGTAGGGGGATGTGAAATGTAATTTTAATCAGACAGAAACGGCGATACTGTAAAGAAATGCAAATCGTACATTTTAAAAACCCCAATATATGTAAATTTCACTATAAAGACTAATAGAAATTATAATATATATATCGATATTGTTAAAAATTAACTTATCAGAAATACTTAAGACAATAATGTGTGTTGGTATTTATATAAAGCTGTTGATATTCACTTTGTAAGAATACCTCCATTGACGTTCATTGCTGAAATGAAATGAAAATATTTCAGGCATGAGAGGTTGGTATTTACTATTAACACGTGCCCGTCCTATTCACAGCTAGCCCTCGAATATATCTGCATCTTACCTGTGATATAACGTCACGAAAAGTGCGCAGCACGTGCAAAATCCTGTAAACGCACCTGTCAATTTAAGTATGTAGATTGGTCACGGGTTTTTTTTTAGAAAAGGCCTTCTGAACTGCAGTTTGAATTTTAAGTAGCACCCACTTTAATTTTCATTTGTTTCGATATCCTCTCAAAGTTTTTTCTTAATAGATACTACTTATCTAAAAGATGTTTTAATCTTATCTTTGCATAATTACAGACTGGAATTTTCTGAATCTCGTAAATTTTCAAAATGATACGTTAATTGGGACTTCAATAGTTTGGCTCATATTCTAGTACCCTTTATTTCGTCACTGATGATAAGCTGTATGGAATAGTTACGTGAAATCTTTAGAGTATTAAGTTGTTAATATATGTATAAAGGTATCATAAATAATAAAATTCAAATATTAAGATATCTTGAAAAGAGGTAATTTTTAAATCGATAGATTATATTTACTGAGTATAGTAATACACAAACGTACATATACTAACGTGTATTAATCAGTCCATTGACCCAACGGATTTCTTAGAACTTACTTTGTTGACAATTACTGAACTATCGAAAAAAAAAGGAAATTCTATAAAGAAAAAGGTGACCCTAAACCATTTATTTTATAAGTAAAGTGTAATAACCTTATTTTTAAAACTTAATATAATTTTCCAATTTTTAAAATTTATTTCTTCGTTGAAGACCATTTTCATGAAAGACTCCCGTAAAAAACATATTCCCGTCACAAATGATTCTGACTCGATCTATATCTAAGTTTGGAATAAACGAACGTGACTCGTTAGGTTAACTGAAGGATATAAACATATCAAAAGGATATCGAGGGATTTTGTATTCAAACTGTAAATACATGGCCCATACTTACCTCTGTCCCTATCTAAAACAGTTACATTGTATTTCATTGTAATTACATTATCAATACAAATAACATTTACGCTAAAACAGAGGCAAACTTGAAGCTAAGTACAAATTAACTTGTTAAATATATAGGTGATAACGTTTGTAAAACAGTTGAAAGCTGGGTAAGTGTCAAGGCACAACGATATTGCAAGATAAACATTCAGATCAAGGCCAGCCAAACATGACAAAGTTGCGACATGAAAAGAATCTCCATAGTAATACCACGAGAGTTCCTTATAAATAGTCAGGTGTAGTACCATAAATAGTTCATCACGATCGAAAAAATATAGCAATATATTCTCTGTAGCTCTCCATACATGTATATTCACCAAAACGACAGGAAATGTAATGTCTTTCTGGATTATTTCTCCCAGATAAGTTTTTATTATCTGGCAACAATACAAGGATATTTATTCTGATATCCAAGTCGTGCACGGCATTAAAATGTGCAAAACGAGCAAAACAGCAAAGGCCGCAATGTCAGTCCTGGTCCTTCAACATGGGCTATCATACCCAAACACACCAAAGCCTCGAACACAAAGTGGCTTCAGCCAATATGCCATGGCCTCATATTCGGATATTGTTTTACTTCTCTAGGATCAGACCTCAGAGGTTTTGTTCCTGAAAAATATATTAGGATATTTAAGTTAAAGAAGACTTAAAGTAGACCTTTACACTTAAACGGTGGTCTGAATTAATTTAACTATCCTATTTCTCATTCCACAAGAAATAAAAAGCTACAGCATCATTTCATATCGTTTGTACTTCATTTTCATTATGATCCTTACCAACGAAGGGACAAACAAGTCTGGACCAGATCTGGCCCAATACCTCTCGCCTAACTGGCTAGGTCCTTGCTCCCGAGAAAGTCACGGAAACTACCAAAAAACTGCAAAGGTGCTTTTAGTTTTTAAGGCTGGCAATTGACTGATATAGCACAGGTAAAAAAGACTATTTCATAGTGTAAGTAAAGGTGACAATGACTAATTATGTATATCTTATTTCTAAGGTTAGTTTAGATCCTAAATACAAAAAAAACCTACTCTAATAAACATGATTGCTTTGAAGTACATAGAATGATATCGTCGCTGATGATGATGGAAAGAACTAGAGGAACATCACAAGGTAGCATTTAAATCTAAGTCCTTACATCTGGGCATTAACGGATCGTCGTTTGCATAAGTAACGATTCCGTATTCAAATAACCTTGTCGTCCAAGTCAAGACCGCACTCCCTAGCAGTAACGGAAATCATTCTATCAAGTTTATACGTATTGGCATTCCCTATCGTAAAGTATATAAAATATCATTACCGATCATGTCAAAACCCTGTATCTAGGCATTAACAGACGCCATACCATCAGGTACAATAAATCAACTGCTGAGAATATAATAATACAAAAACCTTACATACAGACATTTCTCAATAGAAACGGAAAGGCAACACAATACATTACCATATACAGCTGTCACATGATACCATAATATCAAAACATATCTTGGACATACGTTTCTTCTAACAGTCAATAGAAATACATATTACCCAGCCTTAATGATGCCTTGTTATATAACCGAAGAGAAACTTGTATTCATATATGCATGCGATATAGACAATATATAGGTTTATGATCTTAAACTCGGACTTATTGTAATCACATTCCGAATTTGCTGGCCTTCATTCCCCTTCTCATCTGGTTGATGGTGTAGTAGAATAATTTCTTCCAGGCAGCGGCTACCTCGCGCGTGTATCGCTCCTGCAACATGTCACGTAGTCCGTAGTCCAAGGACGGCCACAGGTGCTGAAGAAATCAGAGCAACCAGACATAACAATCAGAATAGAGGCCAACGCTATCAAACGTTTCTTTGTGGAAGCATTGCTGTACTTCTTATGGTGACAAACAACACAAAAACATGCTCAATGTATACGTATATGAATCAAACACAACAAGGTGCGTTTTATTATTATTGTCAATTTGTATAAGTATAAGCGTTGCCTGCGGAAATCGGTATTTAAAGAGTTCTGACCAACTAAACCAGCAGTCTCATATTAGCCAAGGGAATATGCATGTTGTTTCTGCAGTAAATTTTTTGTGACAATTCAGACAACTGCGTCTTATTGTTTTGATATACTTTGGTCACGCAATCGCTTCAGCGTGTATGCGAAATCCTTGCAAAATCAATACGGATACCAGATACCTAGAGGGCGCTAATATGTCTGACTCTTAAGGAACCCTCCTATTGGTGTCCCCAGTTATCATGTTGTTCTTGATAAACGCACACAACTCTTCAGAATTCAATCTTTGTATTTTTACTAAGAAAAACAATGAGTGTGGTTCAAACCATTTACTGATAATAAACATGCACAACTCTTCAGAAATCAATCATCATCTTTATCAGGAGAGACAATGTGCGTAGTTAACCCATTTACTGATACTCATTTAATATGTAAGCAATACTTTACGATTAAGCATTATGCCATGGATATTAGGTTCGTCAGAAGTCTAATGTGCTAGGTATTGAGACTGACGATTTCGATACTGAAATCGAAACTTCTATGAATTAGTTAATAATTGTTTGTTCATATAGCCAAAATCTGTACCCATAAATATATACATGACCTACTATTTACACATACACATTATACAATATTCTTTGAACGTCTACACTGCAAAAAAAATAAGAATTTTGATAAAAACACTCAAAGTAATGTCAGTAATTAATTAGTGGTTTTTATTCTTTATTTTGACAAACAGACAAACGGAGATAAATATAGCTAAAAATATTGGCCATCTTTATGTTTACACGACTCCGATCACCAAATGCAATTATTGTTCAGTTCGACCTGTGAATTATAAGTTGAAAAAATGAAAATTCTATCGAATTAAGTCAGTTTCCATATGTAGTAATTATAAGACATGCAGACGCAAGGAATTAACGGTTACTTTGCTTGGAGAAAAAGGAGCAGTCCTTCTGTATTTCACTGAAGATATTGCTTTGTCACTTAAGAAAAATATACTCTGTAGAATACCAATAACAGGAATACCCTTGTTCAATACGTACAGCAAAATAAAATAAAGAGGAGAAATAGCATGGTTGTTTGAACTCTATTCCTGTTGTAATGTCCCAATTGAAATAATACGGTATATTAAACAAAAGGTACTTTTATATACATGAACGGTCCAGTCACATTTCACGTATACTTACGTACAACATTTTGCCTTTGACCTTTCGTCGAACGTGTGTAGAACCGATTGCTGTGATTACTGTGTTCATAAAATCGCTCTCCTCCATGTTTTCTATGGCGCCACCTAGTGTGTGCATGACGTTGTGTCCGTGTTTCCTCAGCATCTCCCCATCCAACTCAAGCTCCAGCTCATTATTCTCATTTACACGCACGATTTTAGGGAAGAGGCGCTTCAATTTTGGTTCGGTCTCAAAAAATCTGATAAAGTGAATAGTCATGTTAGAACAAAGATTATCACAATCCATTATCTTGGTATCATCACATGGTGCAGTGTCGTCATAAAATAGGGGAAAGTGCCTACTGTCTTTCCATCATATCACAGGGAAACTGGTCAAAAGCTGACATCACCTCAGAGAAAAATGGTCTATTACCCCCAGCAGTAACCAAGTGGGAAAGAGGTACGATGCCTCAGCAATAAACACACAGAATGGACTTTTTGTCTCTACCATAAACGAAGACGAAGGGACCCCACGAACACTCATAAACACACGAAGGTAGTCTACTGTCCCAGTCATAAACACCACAAAAGTAGACCTACCTACGTCATCAACAAACTGGAAGATGGTTTGCAGTCGCTTACACAAATATAAAGGAAAGTGCTCAGCCATTTTGTCATAAAGACCAGGAAGGGGGGGCTACTCACTCTGTCATCAACAATCAGGAAGGAGGTCTACTCACACTGCTACAAACACACAAGGAGGTGTGTCTACGTTCTCTGACACAATACATCATCATTAACAGTTATTTCTTTCACAGAAACTACAACCATTACTTAGTTAATCGTAATGGAACACAAACTCTTTATATTAAATGGTGTTGCAAATCGTAGAATGTTAAATGGGTTCCAAAGCGTAAATTACCAAAAGCCTTTAGATTTGTTACCACGCAGTACGGAATCAATTCATTGTTGTTAAACATCACCTAGTATTATAATTAAGCTCCCACAGATGCTTCAGCACTGCGGTGAAATATTATCTACAGAACATTTAAGCACGGCATATGGTTTATATTTTATGAAATGGATTAGGCAAAAACAATTATTTGTAATGAAAACATATCTATTAGTAAAACACTTAAAACGTGCATACAATGAGTTTATTTACATATTCTCATACTTTACTTCTGATTAAGAAAGCATTACGATGTTTCGAACAATACTGCGTCTGAAGTTATAGATAATGAACAAGACAAGCACAGACCCGTTTCTGTTAACTGGTACCAATGTTTTATTAAGCATGAACGAACTTATAACAAAGGACAGCCTAAATAAAGTATAATGACATCTCATTGTGTGCGGTTTGTCTTTATAGCACGTCATTTATAACAGAGCTGCACTTATCGCCTATACCAAGAGATCTGTGTACAAGATGTTACAATAGTGAAGCTGCCAGAAATCTTTACATTACTGCATAGTGAGGGTGTTCGGGAAATAGCAAGAGACAAACTAGGTGATTTGGGTCGATGACAGTAAAACTCATGTGTTACAGATAGCACTTCACAGGTATTAAAAATCGAACGCTTTTAGGAAAATTACACTACAGACTGATTATTGCGTCTTTCAGTGACAATACTTCCTTTTCAAAGTAGAAACGTTAGTTATTATTTTATTCGTTAGCCCCCGTTCATTCTACAAATGTGGTTTACATTGTCTAGGAATGATCAATTACTTTACGAATTCATTAATACGTGTATAAGATTATGTACTTTCTGACAGATGCTAATGCTATGGTCTTAAAACCGCAGTTTGCCAAATTAGTGTTTATGACTCATTACGAGAATGTGATAAATTGGGGACGGTCACCTTATTTTTCTAAGAAGTCCTAAAAAGAGTTTTAATTAAAATGGGTACTTCTGGCAACATATCAATTCAGGGAAATGTGCAATCTCGACATATAAAGACAAAGATACGGAATGACATCCTTGGACATTTCTAATGCCAATGCATGTTTGCGATTACGGTATCCAAGTGCATCAACTTGGTGAAGTAGTCAATGTGTCGGGAGAATATAATGCTTTCATAATCCCTTTCCCACTCTCTCATTTTTAAAGCACCTATGCCAACAGCTGCGGCATCAGTATCTTTCGAATAAACCTACGGTCACTGGATATAAATAAAACGTAATTCAGTTTTAAGCCCAACATCTGCATTGACAGTGAAACAAGAAGCGTTCCAAATCATGTATATGTCAATATTGAATAGTGCTTGGTCTATTAATTAAGAACAGTTCTACAACAACATTTTGGAAAACACGTGTGCCGATTTTAACATCCCTATATTTGTATCAGTTTAATACCTCGATATACGTGAATATTGTACATCATCTGTTTGGTTTGTTAACACAAACATAGCCACGTGAACCAATACTCCGTCCAGAATAGTTTTTTTCTTGATATGTGGGACTTCAGCCAATCTTGTCTCCAAATTAAAGCAAAATTTTCATGCTCTTGCCAATTTTCGCATAAGTGTTACTCTACACAAGTATATTGGGAAGTTTGCAAACGAACTGATTCAGTAAGCCAGATGGGTCACTACCAGATCTCCGTTTACTTCAACATATCATAAAAGATAAGCCGTGTCAGGGATCCTTGGATCACAGCCTTCTGACCTTTGTAACTAATATATACACTACTTATGATTATATTTTTTTTCATTTGAGCGTTCCTTTAGCATAAATCATAAATTACATGACAACGAATTTAAGATGCTTTTTATTACATGATTGATTCTCCACGCAAGTATGGCAGAAAATGATTCGCTCTCTATCTACGGTCTCCATTGTTACGTACCAATGTCATTTGTGAATGTATGACGTCATTTCTTTATCGAATGCGACGTCACGCTAAGCAATATTAAATATGTGTAATACTAAAAACAGTTCACGGGTATATTCACTGAATAACAAGGCAACCATCTGATATTTATCATTTGAAAACACGGATACAGTAATTAATCATTAATATCCTGTACTGTTAACCCGTTTTTCATTGATAGCAGGGTTGTATTGTGAACATCTAACTAGCCTATGTTTAGTATTAATCCGACATGTTTTCTTACCAAACGATCTCCTTTGCCCTATGGTCATTAGGGACAGTACGACAACATGAAAACCATATACTATAATTTGAAATATTTTGCCATTAATTGCTGTATTGGTAAACGACCTCAGATTGTCCGGCAACAAACACTACTAGATATCTTCATAACCTTGCCCCATATTTTCATAAGTCTTACTTGTTCCGTATCAATAGCACTGTTTTGAAAATGTGTTAGTAATTTCTGACACTGCGATTCAAAGGTTTAATTACCAAAGCAGCAGCCAACTAGACAGTAATTTCGCTTCAATGTCAAATATTATATATGTGTACATTTCAAAACTTTACCAATGAAACCCTCGGTTTGAACGAGGCCTCCTTACTGCTGACAATAAAGAAGTGTAACGTTGTGCCTTGATGAGCCTTTACTACACTTTGTTATTTCTAAGTGCTACAACAACTGCCATAAAACTCACCGGTATAATTAATTATAAAAACCTTTGAAAATATATCTATCTCATGAAACTATAACGGGTTTCTCAATACAAACATTGCTGGCATAACAAGCGTACACATAACCTCGATCAACAATAATTTATTAAGAAGTAAACATTTCTTCAAAGTACACACCAGTCATGCCTATGATTTTTGACCTACAACATAATTATATAGCCCTGTTGATGAAATAAACAAAGTATGTTTCCAATTGATGTCAGGCTATTTCGAGAAAATTATGTTGGGTAAGATGCGTCCTTCTTGAAGGTCAATAAGTTTAAACAGATTTTTGAAACTAATGTGTTCCTCATGTGCCACTTCAGCATATTCGTGTTGTAGAAATTCAACTGTTACTGAATACGTATATTTCGTCTGTGTTACCTTGATGTTTCAGTCAAAAGTCGACACAAATTACTTTGAGATAAGGATGTTCTTGGGTATTGAGTAAATGGTTCGTTAATTTCATAATGGGACTGACATTGGTTTGCCTTCCTACGTACTTAATTTCTGTAAAAGAAGATTATCTTGACACGGAAAAAAAACTTCTTGGAACATTTAATACATTCACTGTAAGATAACAGCTGTATATTCGATACTATAGTGTTTCTTTTTCAAGGACAATGCATTTTTATGTATATTTTGTAAACATTTGTTGACTTACATAACTACTAACAGATAGATAAATGTAAAAGACGTTTTTTCATCAATTTCATGAACTCATATATGCCAATGAGCTAATTAAAACTTTTAAATATTACGGTAACAGAAAGGCAAACATAATCTTGTGTCAACTAAGAAACTCTGCAAGTAATCTAAATTTTGACTTATTAAATTCCCACCTTAAAGACAACCCTGCCTGTACTTGTGGCCACCCAGTTGAAGATCCTACACACTTCTTTTTCCATTGTCCCCTCTTTACTATCCAATGACAACTCCTCCTTAATTCTCTTTCTACTCTTTGTGATTCTATACCTCTTACCACTGATACATTTCTTAAAGGATCTCATACACTTGATGCAAATATAAATAAATCTATTCTTGATTTGGTTCAGAGATTCATAACTGATACCGGTCGCCTGTTTTAGCCTAAGTATTCTTATATATACATTTTTTTTCTATTTTTAATTTGAATTTGTTATCTTAAGTTTGGTCCGCCTGTCATCTTGTACGGACTCGGCTCAGGATTGTGGGTATATGGACCGTTTGAACCTGCAGCCCGTGCCGTGATCAATTGACAAACTTTGACTCCATCTTGTTATATATAATGATGTTACCTATCTAATCTTACTATTCTTTAACACTATAATTTAAATGATGGTAATGCTTGCCTAACATTTCTGTCAGATAATTATTCAACTGAATCTATATTCTAAATTCTATTCCTGGAATGCTATCATTATTATTTAATATCTTAAATTTTGATTGATGTGTCTGTGTACTTGTTGAAGTTGTATGGAGAGGGCGTTCATAGGCTCTGCCTGTTGCCCAATTCCATTTGTCATCAACAACAAGACAATAAAATATTCTGAAATGAAAATGAGCTAACTGGGTCAATACGTCATACAATGTATCAATTATTTGCTAAACATATGTATATGAGTTCATGGGTGTCACGGTGCCAGTATGAGTTATTAGGTCCAACATACGAAAACTGGACAACCTATACTAAA